TATATATATATATATATATATATATATATATATATATATATAAAATGGGGAAGAGGAAAAGCTGAAGACCACCAAAATAACAACAGGTTGACAATCTCAGTGGGCTCCAATGAAATGGACGAAATGACCCACTGAAGCGAAACACTGAGTTCCCGTTCCCCGTTGGATTGTAGGGGTTCTGAGCATCACGCATCCCTACACACTTTATCAACAACCACTCTTCAGGCAAAAAAAAAAACAATAGAGCTTGGCCTACGCCCAGCTTTTGCAAATGTGATCAGAAACCTTGAAAGATTGTTTATAAGAATTTAGTTCATATATTAATGACTACCATATGTACAAAGCGTATATAAATCTTTATTAGTTAATACATTAAATAATTTCTGAATAAGTCAAGAAAAAAAGTAAAGAAATGGCAAAGCACTCATTTACAATATAGTTTTGTTTTTTTGATTCTTCATAGCTGGATGTATTCACATAAGTCAGGGTGTTTCTTTACGTTTTCCTCTTTTGTATCTAAGAGGTTTTGCACTGTACACATTATCAGGTTTAGAAAACTGCTGCGGCTTGGCTGACTGTGAATCCGATGAGTTGTGCACAGTGGAATGTTCTATGTGAGATATGTACATCACGAAAGAAGCCTAGATTTACGTCCAATATTGTTTACACAACCAATCTGAACAGAGGAAAGAAAAAAGAAAGAAAGAACAAACTGCTCTAATGGCATAACTGCTTCACTTCCTGTGTCCATCTTTCTTCATCATCTAACAGCTGATGTATGAGTGGGCATCAGAGGCAGCTGCCCCATTCTGCCGAGACAAAGCGTGCCTCTTCAACCCTCAGTGACTGGGAGCTAACGTGACAGCATTAATTCCTTTACATCCCTCCCTTGGCCCCCTGTCTGTTTTTTTCTCCCTGTCAGACCTGTTTGTTCACTCATCCAGAAAGAATAATGACACGGAGGAATGAATAAGAGAGATATATAAAAAAAAAAATTCAGGCTAAACACCCAATACATGACAGCCAAATCATTTAACCTGGAACCCAGCATTCAAAAACTAGGTACTGTATTAGCAGTTCTCAGATGAATAAAGAAATCAGCTTTAGGTTTATGGGAGATTGTGACGTACTTCAATGCTTTACATCGTCAATTGCACTACTAATGAATCCATTGCTAAGAAAAGGACAAATATAAGGTCTACTGTGTGCTTTGTTTAAAGATCGGATGTCTACAACCAGTATGTTCTTATTGGAGCTACAGGAATCCTTTTATGCTCTGAACATAAACTTCAGAGTGGGGTGGACTGCACTATCCTGAAGCTTTTTTTGTAAAACTGCCTGTAGTTAAATGGGGGCCGAGTTTCATAGTGTTCTCCAGCAGGGGGCGAATGTGAGTCTTTGCTTACTGCATCAAGCAGGAATGAACTGAGCTGTTTGTCATATACCAGCCTGCAAAGGGTCAGCAGTGCAGACAGGAAACATATAATCAACACCAGACTGAAAAGACAAACGGCAGGCAGGGAAAGAAAATGGAGGGGAGATGGAGAGGAAGAGGGGGAGGATTACGATCTTAAACCGGGGGCCTCAGTTAGAGGCCCCATCTACGTTTAATGACTTAAATATGCTATAGAATAATATTTTTACTGATATTTTTTTTGTGACGTTAACAAAAACCTTCTCCCATTTTTTCTGTAAAAAAAAAAAATAAAAATTCACAAAATTAAAATAAAAAAAATAAACATCCACATGGTTTCTTGCTGCTGCAGGGCATTGGCGTCTTGCTGTTTGGCATCCTTGGGCTTCGTGTCACAGGTAGTATTTTACAGAGTGTCAGTTTCCTGTATCCAAAGACCTGGGACCGGAAAAGCACTCGAGCGCTTTCCCAACACCACAGGAGGCAAGAAGTCCAACAAAGAAATACCTCCACTGATGGGACATCAGCCTCTCAGCACGACTATAAATTAAAACAGACATGTACATCCAAAAAATGCTTAACGACTGGTCGAGGGCAGGGTGACACGAAAAGTCTTTTTAAATTGAACACAAACATTAAGTCTTTTTTTGTGGTGGTGCAACACAAACGGAAGCAGTTCTGGGAGAGCTGCTCTTTTCTGCAGAGTTTGTCTTGTGTTTCTCTGTTACTCTGCGGGGAGTGGGCGAGCGTGTTGTGTTCCTGGGCTACAGGCGTGGAAGTGTGCGAGAGAGGGGGGCGAGTTTATCTGGTGGTTACCTCAGGGGCCGGTGAAGAGAGGGAATGCTGGGATTGGGGGCTTGCGGAAGGGGTCGGGGGCTGGGCAGGGCTAGTGCTGCGGCTCCCCTTGGTCCCAGACTGGACCATCTGCTGCTGAAGCTGTGAGATCATGAGCTCCAGCTTCTCTCTGGCCTCCCGCTCTCTGCAGAGCTCCTCCTGCAGTTCCTGCCGCTCCGCCTCGGCATGCTCCAGGCGGCAGCGAAGATCGCACAGCTGCGGACAGAAGGAGAGCGTGGTTTCAAACAGGAACGCACAAAATATTCCATTCAAAAAAATCTGAGTACTAGTGTTTCCTGCAGTAGAGCTAATCTATAGCGCCATTTTAAGATTTCATGTCTGCATGGACAACAAACAGTGCATGTGCGAGGGATTTGAGAGCTTGGAAAGAACGGTTTACTGGATACTGCGCACACGCTGAATGCGTCTATCCATTCTCATGGGCAAAGGAGTATACTTTGGAAGGCTTGCATGCTGAACTGTGCATATAGCCGAGCACATACAGAAAATTAAGCATACCTGAGCCTTTATCAGTCAAAGACTTATTTTAACAAACCCACTCAACTGAACAATGAGCTTAGAGGCTTAAGAAAGAAAACAAGAAAAAAACCTAGAATGCAATTAAGAAAACAAAGAAAAACACAAAGTGCATCAACTATAAATGTATTAGAGCAGTTAATGAATTTACATCTGCAAATCTTTACTTTTAGAAAAAATTTTAAGAGATTTGACGTCTGATACAATGTTATTATAGTATTATTGATATAGAATTGTATTTTCCGTTTTCATTTTAATTTAAAGGGTTAGTTCACCAAAAAATGAAAATTCTGTCATTAATTACTCACGCTCATGTCGTTCCACACCCGTATTTTTGTTTTCTTTGCCCACAAAAAGTATTCTCGTAGCTTCGTAAAATGATGGTTGAACCCCTGATGTCACATGGACTATCTTACCGACGTTTCTGGACCTGGGAACATTTCAGTTGTGTTGCTGTCTATGGAGGGTCTGAGAGCTCTTGGATTTCATCAGAAATATCTTAATTTGTGTTCTGAAGATGAACTAAGGTCAAACTGTTTTGGAAGGACATGAGGGTGAGTAATTAATGACAGAATTTTCATTTTTGGGTGAACTATCCCTTTAAATAATTTGATATGTATCATTTTTATAATTATTATTATTTATTCCATTGTACTTTTTTAATTTCATGGCAACATTGCTAATTTTCACTTAATTAGTTTAAGTGTAATTTTTATTATCGAACATTATTTCTAGAGTCATTGACTCCATTTACCCCTGCATTTAGCAACATTAAAAGGCACAATATGTAATATTTTATTATTAAAATATCCAAAAACCACTAGAACAGTGTTATATATTTTGCTGACTTGTGTACTTACATTATCCCAAATGTTTCGAAGAATGTTTAAATCCAGAGACATAAGCAATTGTAACTAGTGACACGGACCGTGTCCATAGTGTCATTGTGTCGCCTGCCAATGACGTCATAACGGTTTTGTTTTGTAGAAAACATGGAAACACCAAAGACGCTTTAATATGTTATGCGTTTAAATAGACCAGTGACGACCGCACAGAGTAGCATTATAACAGAACGTTCAAATGTATCTAGTATGATAAAACAGCGCTGCGTTACTCCACATGCGCACGACCGGAAGGAGCGGAAGCAGTCGACTGCGGCATAATAAAAGCTCCGCTGCTTTCGAGCCGTGTGTCATGCTCGTTCAGCGGCCTCGTTTCGCTTCGACGGCTTTCAGCCTCACTCTGCTTCATTCTACTATGTTAATAAATCATTATTAAAGGGTGCTCATCCATGAACATGATTTCTGCCCGAGTGCCGTCGGATTGCATCGGATGTGGGGATGAAGACAACAACTCCTATGATTCCACACTCAGTCACGGTGTCATCTAACTAGGCCTTTGTCTATTTGTTTATTTTGAATGCGCGCCCTCTAGTAGCGAAAATTACATATTGTGCCTTTAAAAGGCACACACACAAAATCAAATGAATAATAGTAAAAATATTACATACAAATATTACTTAAATTGCCTTTTTATTTATTTTTATTTCTAAATTCTCATTTTTATTTTATTTTAATAGATTTATGAACTAATGTGCACTAATATCGCCAGTATTTAGACAGTCTGATTTGATTAGACTGGATATGTGGTTTAAAAAGTTTGAGCACCATTGTCCTAATTGATAGTTAAAATGCAGAAATCAGGCCCAGTGTGCAAATCAGTCAGGCACTGGCTCTCCATTTCAGTGTGCGTGTGTATCTGTCTTCCTGTTACTGAATCCCTCCCACACACAGATGATCTGCGCTGATACATGCAGCATATTGCATTGGGTATGGGAATAATTTACACTGGGTATAGTTTATCATTGCATCACACAGTCATTCGGGCACGCTCAGATTGGCTCTGCTGCGGTCCACACATGTACCTGTGCGTTGTACTGCGCCTCCTGCTCTTTGGGTTGGCAGGCGCAGCTCTGCTGTCTGAGCTGCTCTAGTCGGTGTTCCAGCTGTCTCTGCTCCTGCCGCACCTCCCCCAGTCTCTGAGCATGCTCAGTGTGCACCGCCTCCAGCTCGTTCTGCAGCTCCAGCTGCTCCACAGACAACTCCCTCAGCCTGGCTGCCTCACCCCCGCGCACTGCCTCCAGCTCCTGCACAC